AGCACAGACTTGGGTATTGCAAAGCCTGATGGTAACGGGCAGAAATGACTTTCTATGGCGCTCTGATGTACACTTTGGCAAAATGAGTGTCTTGGCTGAAGGTGCTTCCATGGTGGCCAGTACGTCATGGAACGGATGAGACTCGTCCAAGATGGCCTGCATCTTGGACAGGATCCTTCTGTCACTTTGACCGACGGAGGCTCTGCATTCAGGAAAGGAGGCAAGGCAACAAAATGCAGTCGAGGTAGATTTATTTGGAGCTGCAGGTTACAATTACACCAACACCCATTTTCATAGTGAGAGCGAGAAACATTTATACCTGAGGCAAGTTCACCACTGGTGATCAAAAAAGAACAAGAAACAAACACTACTTACACAACAAATGGTGCCAACACATATTTAAATGCATGTAAATCAGAACTAAGATCAAATAATAAATTTAGCTTATAACTCCTCAGAGCCCCCTCCTAACTGAAAGTGGTATACTCCAGAAGCTTTTTAACAGCACCTGGAGCATTTGTCTCACTTTGCTGCTCCACCCTACTGAGGAGACACACCTAGAAAGGTAAGTACTCAATGAGAAAACTCAAATTAAACCAATCTAAATCAGAAACAGACATTTCCCCCACACTCTCCCTATACAGTGCCTCTGCCTGAAAGAATTTTTAACTAAATGTCATAATGTGACTGAAATAAAGAATGGAAACAAAAAGCATTTGGTCTGTAAATAAATTCAAAATTTCAATAATCAATTATTTAGGAATGGAACCCTGGACTCCATCACACCTTCTTTCTGACACCACTGTCAGAAAGTCCAGCTCCACTCCAACGATGGTGCTGGCCTTCTGGATCAGTTTATTCAGTCTGTTGTGTCCTCCACCTGCTGCCCCAGCACACCACAGCATATAGGATGGCACTGGCAACCACAGAAAACATCCTGAGCAAGATCCAGGAGATAGAAGGTGCTTTTCTGACATTTTCATTCAGTAATGAATTGTAATTCATTACTGAATGAGTGGTCAGTAATGAATTTATCATTCATTATCATTACTGATAACTTTATTTCCACGTTAGAAAATTGATCCAGGACCAGGAGCATATTTCATAAGACCACCAGCAATGTCTGTGCTTGTGTTAAATGTTAAACAGTAAACAGTAACAGTGGTTGTGAATAAATAAAGTGAAATAAATTGAACCGAGTATTTTAGTAATGTTTCCAGGGGTGTCAAACGTACGGCCCGCCGAACGATTTAGTCCGGCCCGGGGGCTAAATGCATTATCATTATTCATGAAAAAACATATACTTCGTTTAATTGAAAATCTGCAGTTCCTATACTGTCCACGAGGGGCGCTGTGTTTTATTCAGAGCACACAACATGATGCAACACTGCAGCGGAACTAACAGCAGATGGCAGCACTGAGCTTCAGGTTCTGTAAACAAGTTCGATTCTATGCTTTACCAGCTTTTTATTTTGGCCCTGGCAACCTCATATTTCTCGTGCATGCTAACATACATACATGTTATGTATGCAAGTTTTTCTATATGTATGCATTTTATGCATCAACAAATGTACTTAATCAAATGTCTGTTTAAAACAGCTGACACTTAAGATTTCAAATGTGTGAAGCCAGATAATTTGCTCAAATTGCTTCCCAGATGTTGAAAATTGATTTTAAAACTTTTCTTAATTTTTGTCTGTTGTATTTTGTGATGCAGGACCGTGTTTTTACGTTCCAAAAACTGTGAATAAATGTTTTGCAACATTGTACAATCACTGAGGTCAATTCTTATGCATAATGCACTTAAATAAATGCTTAACTGAGTAAAAGTTTTGTTGAAATTGCAGTGCAGATACCTTTCTTAAAAACTGAGATTATTCATAATATATTTTGTAAAAGTGAAATTCGTTTAATATAAAAATCAACAAGTCCACTTTTATTGGTTCTATTTAATCTTGCAATGAGTTTACTTGTGTGGCCCCCTGCAGATCAGATTAAGCTGTATGCGGCCCCTAAACCAAAATGAGTTTGACACCCCTGGTTTAGACATAAGGATGTCTATATGTGCACTTGGCACCAGGACACCCTAGGCCACAGTTCGATGATTGATTTTGTCATCGTTTCATCGGATCTGCGGCCGTATGTCTTGGACACTCGGGTGAAGAGAGGTGGTGAGCTGTCCACTGACCACTACCTGGTGGTGAGTTGGCTCCAGTGGTGGGGGAGGAAGCCAGTCAGACCTGGTAGGCCCAAAAGTGTAGTGAGGGTCTGCTGGGAACGTCTGGCGGAGTCCCCTGTGAGACGGAGCTTTAACTCCCATCTTCGGCAAAACTTCGAACACGTTCCGGGAGAGGTAGGGGACATAGAGCGGTGCAGCACCCAACACTGTTTATAGTGGGGATGGTGTGCTGCTGACCTTAACTCGGGATGTTGTGGGCCGGTGGCCGGAATACTTCGAAGTATTCGAAGTATTCAAAGTATTCGAAGACCTCCTCACGGAGCTGCCGAACCCACCCTTAAGATAGTCACTCTGTCATGTTCGACATTGCTCCCAGAAAATGCACAAAAATCTGGTGCAGATCTGCTGATATCGTGAGGAGACACAGTTGTTTTATTAATCTGGGTCCGCAGTGGAGTCAAATTACAATGTAATACTTTTGGGCTCTGTAGAGGTTCACCAGAGATGATCACATAAAGTCTGCTGCAAATCTGATGAAGCATGTTTGATTTAGAGATGATCATAGACATGGCGAGCATTGCTACTCGCTATTTAGCCTCCCCCACATTGTTCAACCAGCAGCCAAGACCTCCTCAATCCCACTGGGATTGAGGAGGTCTTCGAAGTATTCCGGCCAGTTGAGGAAGCTGAGCCTGGGGACTCTGGGTTGGGCTCTCCAATCTCTGGGGACGAGGTTGCCGAGATGGTCAAAAAGCTCCTCGGTGGCAGGGCCCCGGGGGTGGATGANATCCGCCCGGAGTNCCTTAAGGCTCTGGGTGTTATAGGGTTGTGTTGGCTCACACGACTCTGCAATATCGCATGGACATCGGGGGCAGTTCCCCTGGATTGGCAGACTGGGGTGGTGGTCCCCCTGTTCAAAAAGGGGGCCGGAGGGTGTGCTCCAATTACAGGGGGATCACACTCTTAAGCCTCCCTGGTAAGATCTATTCAGGGGTCCTGGAGAGGAGGATCCATCGGATAGTCGAACCTCGGATTCAGAAAGAGCAGTGTGGTTTTCGTCCTGTTCGTGGAACACTGGACCAGCCCTACACCCTCAGCAGGGTCCTGGAGGGTGCATGGAGTTCGCCCAACCAGTCTACATATGTTTTGTGGACTTGGAGAAGGCGTTCGACAGTGTCCCTGAGGGGGCCTTCTGGGGGGTTCTCCGGGAGTATGGGGTACCGGGCCCTTTGTCAGGCCCCTGTATGACCGGTGTCAGAGTCTGGTCCGCATTGCTGGCAGTAAGTCGGGCTCGTTTCCAGTAAGAGTTGGCTGCCCTTTGTCACCGATTCTGTTCATTACTTTCATGGACGGAATTTCTAGGCGCACCCTAGGAATCCATTTTGGTGGCCTAGGATCGCATCTCTGCTTTTTGCGGATGATGTGGCTTCATCAAGCCGTGATCCGCAGCTCTCACTGGAGCGGTTCGCAGCCGAGTGTGAAGCGGCCGGGATGAAACCTAGTGCCTCCAAATCTGAGCCAGAAAAGGGTAGAGTGCCTTCTCCGGGTCAGGACGACCCCCCTGACCCGGAGACGGCACTCTCCGGGTCAGGAGAGGAGTAAAGTGGAAGAGTTTAAGTATCTGGGGATCTTGTTTACGAATGAGGGAGCGGGAGATCGACAGGCGGATTGGGGCAGCGTCTGCTGCGAAATGGGCGCTGTACCGGTCCGTTGTGGTGAAGAGAGAGCTGAGTCAAAAAGCGAAGCTCTCGATTTACCGGTCAATCTATGTTCCCACCCTCATCTATCGTTATGAGCTGTGGGTCATGACCGAAAGAACGAGATCACGGATACAAGTGGCCGAAATGGGTTTATTTATTTTTTGCATAGTTGTTCACATTATGCAACTTGCACGTGATCTTGCTTGTGAACTGGAAACAACCTAAAAGTGTCCTGCATGTGCAGTAGTGAATGTATAGCGTTACATGGATGGATGTTCAATTTTATCCATGCCAACTTGTGCGTATGGCGTAAATTTACGCAATTTTTTCCCTGCTGTTATAATGTGTGGCAGCAATGCAAACTTATTTTATGGACAGTAAGAAGCTGGAAGGCATCTAAGTACACTGAAACCTAACTTCGTTCAGTTATTTATTTGGGTTATTTAGACCAAGAAGCACTAAACCCAATGTTTTTCATAATTTTAATCTTGTTTAAACATAAACGATGAAACTGAACCACATTTGTCCTCAGACAATAACATAAAACACACAAAATAAATAAAATAAAAATATAAGGATGTGAAAACCTCACTTGAATGTAAATACTAAATTTGCAATGTAAGGTAACTCTCACTGAAAAAGAAAACTTAGTCAGATCAGCAGATTAACTCGAAACAGGTTTGATTATTTTTAAGTTGATCAAGGTGTGTAGACAATCACACAACTTGCTTTCGCAATTTCACAATTACACGAGCCGCATAGTTGTGAAACGGGCTCTGATAAAAAACATCGCCAATAGAAGGAGTCAGAGGGAGCATTTGATCAACATTTTGCTGGGAAATGTTGATGACCACATATCCAAATGGTCCGAGTTGCATTTGTAAAAATCTGATCTTTGTTATTCAGATGGTCATGAAAAGATTAGATACAGGTTGCATAAAGGCAAAAAAATCGAATCTGGGTCGCTTCAGGCTGTAGTGTGTAGTGTAGCACTGTAGCATGAACTTTTTGCTTTCCATAAATTTCTCCTAAAATCCAAATATTTCTAACTTTGTGGGGAGTGTAAATATTTAACACTTTATGAAAAAGAAAAAACATACATACACACAAGATTAAAAATTAAATTTATACATTTTGCAATAAGAATAAATGTGAAAAAATACAAAGGAAAGATTTTCATCATAAATCCTTTACATAAAGAACTCTATTCTATCTCAGATCCATGTGATAGAAGGAATGAGCCCAGACATATTGATATTGATAATAATAATAATAATAATAATAATAATAATAATAATAACAATAATATATACTCCAGGGATATTTAATAATGATTATTTAATGCTGGAGCCAAAGACAGTACTTGAGAGCTGGTCTTGGTTCTGAGTTTCTTTGCCTTTACTCACAATCCACCTCCTTGGTCTCTGACAAAAAACTTTCTGTGGGTGGCAGAGTGTCACAATCACAGTGGTTGTTTTTTGCCTGGTCAGTTGACTCCTTTCCAAACTGTAGATGGGTGTCGCTTACTCCAGTGGGTTGGATGGTTTTGATAGTCATCTCTGAAATCAAAAATAAGTCTGCTTGCATCTTGTAATTCGTAAACATAAAATGTTTAATTACATTTGACTTATTAATAAAATCTGACAACCTGAATTTGGCTCTTATTGCTGAACTCTATCGAATCAACCAAACCAAACAGACCCTATTTCATGTTTCACACTCAAATAATGGCGCACATCTAAAATCTAGATGGATGCTAACCTATTGAAATTGCATAAGACAATCAATTTATGCTGCCTAAATTTGACACAGAATTTATGGTACAGTACAGTAGACAAACAAGGGAATTGGATGGATGGCTAGAAAGCTTCCAAAATATGAAAAAACTTACATCGATAATTCAATAGATACCTACAACTTAGAGCTTATTATATTAAATAAATTAGAACAGACCAATCCATCAATCGTTTGTCAAAAATTTAACACAAAAAACTAATCAATAATTATCAGCATCAACCGATGTGAAACCCTGAAAATATACCTGAAAAGACATAAAAGGATAGTTAATGTAGCCCTTCCCCTTGGATGTTTTACCCTTTTTACTGCTTTTATAAATCAATCTTGATCAACAAAATTTTGCTTTTTTGACAAAGATTTTTTTTTTTTTAATTCTTTAATCCAGCCAAATGGTGCTAGTAGTAATGAGTAGAATCATAGATCATATTAATGCAGTCTCCAGGGATTGTGATATCAAGCCACCTGTCTATTCACTGATCAGTATTTCTGGGTAGCATTACAGTATGGAAAAAAAGCATTCCGAGCAACTCAGAAAAATTTTTTTGAGGAGGAATGGATACAAAAAAAATCTTTAATGCACATCCCATGGAGTTTTCACTCTGGAAGGAATATGGCACACGTGTAAACCTGCCTACTAATCAGACCATTCTTGACAAACTGAGATAACACTCTGTTTGTTTGAGAGAGACAGACACTGAAGAAGTTACAAGTTCCAGCAGTTGACATACACTATATTGCCAAAAGTATTCGGTCACCTGCCTTTAGCTTAAGTGACATCCCAGGGTTCAATTTGACATTGGTCCTCCCCTTCCATCTAAAACAGCTTTAAATCTTTTGGGAAGGCTGTCCACAAGGTTTAGGATTTAGGAGTGTTTATGGGGATTTTTGACCATTCTTCCAGGAGCACATTAGGGTAGGGTCCAACATTAGGTTGGTTGATGTTGGACAAGAAGGCCTGGCTCTATTGGGTTGAAGTCAGGACTCTGTGCAGCCCAGTCAAGTTTATCCACTCCAGACTCTGCTATCCATGTCTGTAAGGTCCTTGCTTTGTGCACTGGTGCACAGTCATGTTGGAAGAGAAAAGGGCCAGCTGCAAACTGTCCCTAGAAAGCGTGGACCAAGGAATTGTCCAAAATGTCTTGGTATGCTGAAGCATTTAGAGTTCCTTCCACTGGAACTAAAGCAGGGGTGGACAATCCCAGTCTTTGGAGAACTGACTGCATTTTCATTGAAGTGTGTTGACCTGAGAGACATTTAAGAGCTGCCGAACACTGGCCCTCAGAGTCCTTCTAATGACTTGATTATTTGACTATAATTATTTGAAAGTAGAGACATTTAAAAGCTGCAGCCCTCGAGGCCTAGAGATTCCCACCCCTGAACTAAGAGGCCAAGCCCAGCTTCTGAAAAACAACCTCACATCGTAAATCCCCCGTCCACCAAACTTTAGGTTGAATATTTTATTTGTCTTGTTTTTGTTGTAGAAATCAGTTATCACGTTTTCCACAGGATTTTTTTTTTTAATTTTTGTCAATAAAAGCCCAGTTTTCTTTATCATGATTGATTTTGAAAGCAAAAGATGGTCATTTCTTTTTATAGGGAATTTATTTAATATTTCTTTTGGAGCCTAATCCTAACATGAAAAATCAGAATAATTTTGTGTTTTCACATGCTTACACTGGTCAAAAAAAAATAATTAAAAAAAAAATCAAATCTAGCATTAAAAGCCTTACCAGTTTTATCAACCTTCTCGCTATTAGTCGGACTGGTGTCATTAATTTCTGCATATGCTGAATCTCTCCTGGTGGGTGATTTCATTTCCATATAGCTACTTTCAGTGTTTTTGGATGTTGGCGAGGGGGGGTCCTTTATTGTGGCATATGGGTTTTCAGAGCTGACAAGAGAAGAGGAACTTGCAAGATAGTCAGCACCCTTTACCATGTCTGAGTAACAAAAATAGGATAGCCAGTTTTAAATAAATATCAATTATAAAATTTACAATTTAAATCATACCTTGATTTAAACAGGTAGGACATACCTTGCAGTGATTTTCCAATGCAAGTCATGTCAACTCCACAGGCTCCTAGTATAAAGAAAGGTACATTGTTAAAGAGGTCATAATTAGAAACATTACAAACAAGATAAGGCTGTAGTTCCTCACCATGTTGATGTGTTTTTAGAAAAAAAAAAGTTCATCAAACAATACGTTGTAGTTGCTCACACAGGTGTGTGGATGGATAATTTGCAATTATCCATCTTCTCCTAGTGGAGTTGGGAGGGGTGCTGGTGCCCCTAAGATATTTCGGGTTCATTATGTCATCTTGATTGAGAGGTTTCTTCCATAAAGGTTTATCTACAACTATCTTTAAAGAATACAATAAACACCGACAGCTTAGCTGTGTGCATCTCTGACTACATTGCTTTCTGTGTGGACAATTCTATCCCCACAAAAAAGGTCAAATGCTACCCGACAACAAACCATGAGGATTGAAAACTCTTCTTAACTCTGCTTAAGAGAGCCTTTAATTCTGGTGATCAGTCAGAACTCAAAAGCATACAAAAACAGCTGAAACAAACTGTGTGAAGAGAAAGACTAATGTGTAAGAGAAAGCTGGAAGAAAAATAATTAAAAAATAATGCTTCTCTAGCTTCTCTGCAGCTCTCTCTGGGATGAGAGAGATCGCCTAACTGACGAGGAAAGCCCTGGTGGGGGGATCTCAAATGGGCAAACAAGTTGAATCAGTTTTTAACCGGTTTGACTCCCTAGACTCCCTTCCCCTCTTCCTACACATTGTCTGCTTGCAGTTTTATGATTACTGCTGACCAGGTGAAAAGAGAGAAATCTCACCCTGGGAAAATATCATATTAATATATATTTATATATATTAATATGTTTGTATGTATTATGTATGATAATGTTCAGGTCAGTTAAGTGGAATCCTGCAGTACCTCTTTAACTTGAACCTGAGGCTCCATAGAGAATCAGAACTATGGAAAACATTGTGCTTGATTCCAGTACCAAAAAAGATACTTCCAAAAACACTAAACACTAAACCCTCTGATGAGGGTTATGGTTCTGGTCACAGGCAGGGGTGAAAGTAGGCGGGTACGGTAGGGTACTGCGTACCCTAAAAGATTGCAGGCTGCCATGTTCGGCTTTAACCTTCTGACCCACATGCAAAATCAACAAGCCAGAGTAAGGTAAGATTTTTATTCTCTTTCTTTAGTCAACAGGCAAATCTTCTTTGTCCTCTGAGGGGCGGTAGTGTCAAACAATCGGAGGTGCTTTAGAATGGCTATGGTTGAGGCATGGGGAATTGC